AGCTTTAAAGTCGGGACCAAATTGCCTCCCACAGTGGCACAGGGATAGAACTGAAGGGGAGGCCAAGGGAAGCATATCTGTTCACAACACTGCGGCCCTTCTGTGATCACTAGCCTGGAACTGCCTGATCCCATTGCCTCCCTGGTCACCTCTTCAGGGAGCCCTGTGTTTAGTACAGCCTGCGTGAATGGGATACCCAGCCCTGAAATTGCCTCCTTCCCCCTTGCATGTGCATATATCCTTCTCCCCATTTAAAATCGCCTTGCTCTTAACACACAATGACAGCAACATGGAAACTCATCTTGCACCACACCAGGGCCCCAGCTGGGCATTCTGGAACTCCTGCTTCAGCCGTTTCTGGTTGCACTGGACAGTCCCAGGCAGATCTGGAGCCAGATCTGTTTGAAATCTACCAGACCGATTCTCTCCCACCCACCCCCCATCTCAGCCTCCTTTCTCTGTCAGTTTCAAGCATGCACACATTTAAATGAGCTGATACATGCAAATGTACACTGCCTCCTCGCTCTTTCTCTGGACAAAAGGGCAATCCAGAGTCTTTGACAATAAGCCATTTTTAAAGCATTTAAATGAATTAACATATGCAAATAAACCATGGCTGGGATTCCCCCCCCCTTCCTGTTTGAGGTAAGGTGGCAACGCTAGCTAGAGGCATTTAGAATATAAATACAGCAACACATTCGACACGTACAAGCCATCATAAGGGAACAAAAAAACTACAGTTCCCGCGATTAACCAGTTTAAAATCATGGTGTGAATAAAACCTTTGTGGAAAGGCAGAAAGCTTTGCTTCGGTATATATATAATGTGACATAAACCAACTTATGGTTTATGGTTTATAAATATCGCTTTTTGTGTACTGTTAATAATAAGATTTGATAGATATATTTGTATTGTTTTTGTAAATGTTGAGACACCTTTGATCTTCAACCTTCTTTTTCTCTTTTTATATGTACAACCTATTCTAAATAAACTTTGTTGGTTTAAAATATATATAATGTGACATCAATCTCAATCACATTTATTTAAGTACTAAAAGAAGACCAGGGAAGTTGTTTCCAGATCACAGACATAACCTCAGAGGGTTATTTATTCTAGCATAATTTTTTTGTGGGCTACAGTTCATAGATATTTATGCCAGAATAAAATCGTGTTAGTCTTTTAGGTGTCACTACAGAGCCTTAGCTATCCTTATAACCCGGAAGGTAGGCTAGTATCATTAGTCCCACATCACAGAGTTTGGGGTCTCCAGAGGCTTGCTTAAGGTTACCCATAGTGCACGTCTACAAAAGGTTGCGCCCTTCTAAATCTATCAAAGTCAATGAACACAGAGCCTTAGCTATCCTTATAACCCGGAAGGTAGGCTAGTATCATTAGTCCCACATCACAGTGTTTGGGGTTTCCAGAGGCTTGCTTAAGGCTACCCATAGTGCACGTCTAAGAAAAGTTGCACCCTTCTAAATCTATCAAAGTCAATGGGCTTAGAAGGACTTAACTCTACTTAACACAGCACTGCCTCTGGCGGGATTTGAACTGGGGACTGGCAGCACACTCTCAACAGCTGTATTACTCAGCTCTTACAGCAATGTTTTCAAAGGTTTCTCTATGAAATCTTCTAATAAACCAGTATCTGAACCCAGAGTGAGCACAACATTCTAGGCTGTGCTGGTTATCATAATGATCAGCATATTTTAGGTTAATGCAAGTGTATTTAATAACAAACCCTTTGACTCTATCTTAGACATGTCAGAGAGATTTTCCTCTGGATATGTAATGCACTATGATTCTGACCACGCTTGCCCAGAAATAAATCCCAACAAGTAAATAGGTACACTTGGATTTCACTCTTTAAGAACATAAGAACATAAGAGAAGCCAATGTTGGATCAGGCCACTGGCCCATCCAGTCCAACACTGTCACACAGTGGCCAAAAATACTAGGTGCCATCAGGAGGTCCAGCGGTGGGGCCAGGATACTAGAAGCCCTCCACTGTTGCCCCCCCCCAGCACCAAGAATACAGAGCATCACTTGCCCCAGAGTCCCTATCTATATGTTGTGGCTAATAGCCACTGATGGACCTCTGCTCCATATGCTTATCTAATTCCCCCTTGAAGCCATCCATGCTTGTAGCCACCACCACCTCCTGTGGCAGTGAATTCCATGTGTTAATCACTCTTTGGGTGAAGAAGTACTTCCTTTTATCTGTTCTAACCAAACCGCTCAGCAATTTCATGGAGTGCCCACGAGTTCTTGTATTGTGAGAAAGGGAGAAAAGTACCTCTTTCTCTACCTGCTCTATCCCATGCATAATCTTATAAACCTCAATCATATCACCCCTCAGGCATCGTTTCTCCAAGCTAAAGAGCCCCAAGCGCTTTTTCTTCATAGGGAAAGTGTTTCAACCCTTTTATCATTCGAGTTGCCCTTTTCTGCACTTTTTCCAAAGCTATAATATCCTTTTTAAGGTGTGGCAACCAGAACTGTACACAGTATTCCAAATGAGGTTGCACCATTGATTTATATAGGGGCATTATGATATTGGCTTATCTGTTTTCAATTCCCTTCCTAATAATACCCAGCATAGCATTGGCCTTTTTTACTGCAGTCGCACACTGTCTCGACAATTTCAGTGAGTTATCTACTATAACTCCAAGATCTCTCTCTTGGTCAGTCTCTGCCAGTTTGGACCCCTTCAATGTGTATTTATAGTTAGGATTTTTTGCTCCAATGTGCATCACCTTGCACTTGGCCACATTGAACCCCATTTGCCATGCTGATGCCCACTCGCCCAT